CCGCACGTGCTTTGGTACTCAACCTGAACCCACTCCCATTTGCCATGGGTGAGAACTCAACGGTGCAGGACTTTCTCACAGCCCTTAGGCGTTACCTCTGGGATAAGAACGACGCGCGGAAATGCACCGCCTCGCTCGGAACGCCCAGAAGGCTTCATGCCGCTTCGCGCACGCGCTGACAAAGAGCGCGAACCACCGCAACCCCTCCCGCCCAGCCGCCTACTGAGAAAGCCGACCCGCCCCGTGACGGCTCCCGCCACCCCTCCCCCGCACAGCCCTCACCCCGCGCAGCCGGTAGGGGCGGGCTGCCGTGTGCCCTTACGTGAGAGGAAGAGGCGGCGCCTGCCCGACGCTGCCAGTAACGGCTGTGCGCCGCGTCTCCACCCCTCAGCGGGCGGCGGTGAGTGCGCCAGGCCAGCGCCGGCGTGGGACCGAGCGGGGCGGAAAGGCGCCGAGCTGAACGCTGGCACGGTTATATCTTTTCTTATCGCCTTCTCTTCCCTCTCCCCGCCTTCCTTCTTCAGCCGATCCGTGCTCCTCTCCCGCTGTCCCCCGTTCGGGCGGGAAAGGCCCGCACCGCGCGCGGCCCGAGGCTAGCAGCCTCGCGGGTGGGGGAAGGGCGGCGGGAAGAAAGCGCCTACGGCTGCCGCGCGCTCCTGCCGCGCGACGCTGCCGGCCCGCTTTCCCGCCACGTGACCTTTACCCCCCCTTTCTTCGGGCACCATGTTGGTGGGGCGAGGGCGGCGGGCGGGCTCACAAAATGGAGGTGATACCCGCCGCGCGGGGGGAGCGGGGCGGTTCGGCTGGATGGGCGCAGGGAACCGCCACCATCTACCCCTCCCCGGAGCAGCGGGGGGACTCATAAAACTGCCTGGGCGAGCGGGAACGCCGCGCTCGAGCACGGGGCGCGTAACGCTGCCTCTCGAGTTCCTTGCGGTCGTCTTTCCCCGCGTCGTGGCACGGCGGCCGCAATGGCGGCGGGGGGCAGGAAGCGGGAGGCTGCGGGCGGGCCGCGCTTCCGCCCCTCGGCGCTCGGCCGCCATTTCGCTGCGCTGCAGAGCGCGGGGGGAGCGCAGCCTCCATTCTGTGCGCGGGGAGCGCCGAGAGCTTAGAGCTGAACTGAGGCGAGGGTGACGAGAAGTGAAAGCCGTTGTTCTGCTCTCCCGCGTGGCTGAGACCCGCAGATGGGCGTTGCGGCGCTTTTCAATCGCTCTTCTTCTGGGCGGGAGCCTTTGGAAGCGGCGAGGCCGCTCGGTGTCCCGTCCTGCTCCTGGCTGAGGTGTAATGGTACACGGAGCTGCGCTTCTCCCTTGCCAGCCCTGCCATCCCGTGGATGTTTGTCACGTGCAGTGAGCTCTGTGGACAAGGGGCATAGTGCAGAGCAGCGGAGCAGGTCGCTGCCATTACCCTTTCTCCACGCCCCCGGCTGTAAACACACGACATCCATGGCATCCCGCCATGATCCTGGTGGGCAGCACAAAGGAGTGGTTCTGCACAAACCGTGCACCACACTTTCCCAACTTGCATTCAAGTAAAGATCAGATCCAGTCTAGGGCGATGATCTGCACCCTGACCAGAGAACAGTGTACTGATGTCCTCTCCCGCTTTTCTTTCCCCTCTCCCCTCAGAGCATATATTTTTAGCTCAAGCGTTTGAAAGTATGATGAGTAAAAAAGTGCAGCATTCTCTCTGGGCATTGTGCCCCCTTCCTGGCAAGCTGAAACCTTTGTAGGATTCAGAGCAGAGAAACCAGTAGCTCACACTAGTTTGTGTTACTGTGTTAAAAGCAGAAAAGAAACCTGATCCCTAAACACAATGGCTAAAAATAACTGTTTTCCATGTAGGCAATTGTTTTATTCCCTTGAACAGTTGTCAAAGGGAGCTATGATGAGTTCAAAGCATGCTTCAGTAAAGTTTGCTAAAATCTTGTGCGTTTTTTTCCCAGCAAACATGCCTGTTGGCATTGGGAAAACTACCAACACGCTTAGAACTGAAAATCTCTTAATTTGCTGACTGAAGTCTTAGAGTTGGCAAGATATGTGGCATGCACACTAGGTCCAAATTTGTCTATATGCAAATAAATGCCAATATATCTCTGTAGTGTTTTCTGAATAGACAAGGAAATTTCCACCTTGAGAACGTCAGTTTCCCCTTGCTACAGTACTGCTTGTCTCTTCAGTAACAGTTAAATTCAGTAGATAACAATGTTCTGAATTTTTTAAAACTGTTGATATTTCATTTATATTAATTATAAAAATTACTATTCACAGCTTCTTAAACTTTCTGTAAATTGGCAGGATTGAGGCTGTGCTTCAGCTCATGGTATTCATCAGTAATGCAGTAATTCTCTTCTGCCCATCATCACTGTGAGCGATATGTTGGTTAGTTGGAGCCTCACTGGAGAAAGCAGATGGCAAAATCAGAGAAATTTGATACTTTAGGTTACTTGAGAAAGTATCTAGGCTTTTCATGCATTTGGGATTTGAGAAGTTGAATAGCTCAGGACATTAGGGTATTAAGTATTTCAACTAAATCGACCAATTTGAAGGATTTCAAGACAGGTTTAACTGTAATTAATACGCATGCCTTGATTTTACTTCCTAGAACTTTAAAGTTGTTAAGACATTAAATCATGATACTCATGATTTCACAGTTGGGTTCAATATTAAGATCTTAAAGCTTAGTTTGAATTTAAATGTAGAATTATAGTCAGAATGAAAATTATTTAAGTGTAGTGTAACATTAATTAGGACCGACCTGCTTTTCCCTATGCAATATTTGCAGGAATAGCACTTTACAAACAGAGCAGATAAACCCAACATTCGAAAAGTTACAAACAATATACCTAATCTTGACGGTGTAGATTACTTGGAAGCAGCACAAGTGTGGTTTTACAGTAGCTTATTATTTAGGTAACTACTGTAATGAGTTTCAAGTTACATCTGAAGTAGTAATAAATTGCTGCTAAAGATAGAAGCATAGTAAGAAAGCATGAGTAACTTAACGATCTTGGGAAAACTTGAGATTATAAAGGTTAAGGGGAATGTGATTATCTTTTGTTTCTTTGAATGCTTATGTAGAGATGCACTCACTGAGTTTGTCTACTGAAGTGCTTTTTGTGATGATGTATAACTTCATTAACATTCATTGATACACATTGGGCACGTAAGTGTAGAGTGCAGAGTTGTAATGAAATACATCGTTTTCAAGGGAAGTAATGCAGATGACCAGTGCTGCAGATTCCTGAGGATCAGCTGTTGGAATTTCTGGTTATGCAAGAATAGAATCACTAAAGGATTCTTCCACTGGTGTTAGTGGAAAATATTTTTCAGCACAGAAACTATTTTGCATCTTTCAGTTTTTCAGTTTGTAGGACGCTGGATTATTGACAGAGTAGGTTATGCATAAGATAATTTTAGTAAGCATTATTTGCAATATGTTTTTTACAATAAAAAAGACAGATTTAAAATCTGGAGTTGCAGGGTTTGATTGTTTAAGAACAAGACCTGTTCGTGATAGTTATGTAAGAGAGAGCATTTGAAATGAGTGATTCTCTGCAGAGAATCACGTATTTTGCTTTATATTGCACCTATTATTCCAACAGCTGTAAAACACCTTCATCTGGTAGCTCGTGTTCTTTTTGCAGCAACTCCAAGGCGACATAGACTGAGGGTTTTTACCCTTTGAAATGATTGCATTTTTTCTACAATTACCCTTTTCCATTTCCTCTCCTGTAAAGACAAACCTGTGCACTGCAGACAGAGAAGGCCCTGCTTCATCGGAGTTGGGGTGAGTACTGACTTATCCAACCTGTTTTCTAGGTTTCCTAGATCTAAAAGAAAGGCCGAGTTAGAGTACCCTTCCAAAATGGCTGCTATTAAGGAGGAGAGAGAGGTGGAAGATTACAAGAGAAAAGGAAGACGATCATCACAGGTGAGAGCATTGACTTTTTTAATTATAATAAAGTAGCTTTAAGGGGGAGAGGTTTAAAATTAGAAAAAGTAGAACTTAACTGGTTCTATCTGAGCATGAATTCAAAACTTTTTCTACCTTCTTCATCCTCGTAGCAGAATAATTGTAAAATGCTGTGTGTTACTTTGAGCTTTAAGGGGTGGGATTTTAAGTACAGTGGGGAAGTTCTGCTTTTCTAGTTTTCTGTTATAACAAAGCTGATTAATGTATGCTTGCGGCTAAAGGTGTAATTTATTTTTTTTTAAGAAACTCGTGCATCCTCAGAATATTGACAGGAGGAACTTGATTCTTTCCTATCTTCACAGTCTTGTTTTTAGTGGGAATGAAAACAGGTTCTTTTTTAAATAAAAATGGTTGCCTGTTAGTCACTGCAAATGAAAGTGAGGCTGTACTAAGTAAAAATAACTGTTTTCTTTTGCTTCTAGCAGAAATACCGTAGACTGAATAAGGTGCGTAGTATAGAGAAGATGGTGGGTCTGTTCTGGGAGGATGGGAGCTAGTTACGTTGGGGCAGGGTGTGGAAATGGGAGGGGGGTGACTCTCGATACCCTTCAGAATAATTTAAGATCAGCAATGAGGGTGTTAAATAATGCTTGTATGGCTTATCACTGAGACATTTTTGGTTGTGTATTTTCATGTATTTGCCTTCTAACATTACTTTTCCAGGGTGCCTGAATAGTTTAGCTAGCTGAACCCATGTTTCTCTGGTGCTGATATGCCGCTGTCACGCTGAGAGAGAGGCAGTGCATCTTTTTAAAAAAGAAAACAAAAAACCTTTTCGCAGTTACATTTATCCAGTAGCATGTGGTTACTTTGTATCGAAGAGTAGCACGTGAAGTCCTACTGCAAAGAACCTCACAGCTGTCTGCTGTTTCTGGACTTGAGATAGAATGTATCTCAGGTCCTCAGCTGCCTACAATGAGGCAGGAATGCACCTACAGGCTACTAAGTTTCTAGAGAAAATGTTTTGCTGAGGAAGTTGTCCGCAGGCTTTCGGTCCAGAAGGCAGCCCAGGGTTGGGGACGGTCGCATTGTGCAGGTGTAGGTGCTCATGTTAGCTCCCATGTAGAGGTGCAGTGCAGGGGCGGTTGCCATGTGAAAGAGAACCTGTAGAGCCACCGCAGCTGCAGAGCACTGAGTGGGCAGAGACCTGCTGTGTGGAAGCTGAGATTCCTGTAAACTGAAGAAATAGTCATGTATCTGC